ATAAAATATCCAAAAACTTTTACCTCTAAATTATCTATTATAAACGTCACCAACGAATGCATAACAAAACATTAAAAATGGTTACAAATATTTAGTGTCAAATATTTTAATTATTTCCATGCACATTTACTTCCACTCAAACGTATACCAAATTGCTACAAACATATAATTCCCAAAATAACTATCATTTAATTAAAATATAATTAAACCATGTACACGTCGACTTATTTTTACTTAAAAAAACATCCCAGAATTGCACAAAAATGGCATTGCGCACACTCTTCACTATATCCATGTACATTGCTTTTTTCTCATAAATTTGAAAAATTTCACGAAAGTGCATGAAAATTTTGTGATGTGAATCTTTAAATTCGGTAAAAAGGACATATATGAAATTACCTGATCGTGAAAAAAAGTATATACCCTTTCCAAGGATGAACATTTGCACATATAAAATAAATAAAATATCCAAAAACTTTTCCCTCTAAATTACTATTATAAACCTCACCTACCAATTTCTAACGCAAACATTAAAAAATGGTCCAAATACTTAGTGTCAAATACTTAAATTCTTTCCATGCACATTTACTTCTACTCAAACGTATTCCAAAAATACAACATTAATCTCAAATACATCATAATAAATATAATTAAAAAAAACATACTAAATATAATAATCGTTTGAAATTAATATAAAAAATAACAAAACTTCAAAAACTTGAACCTAAAATTATATGATCTCAATAAAATATAACCTACTAACACCATAATTATTACTATAATTATTATAGAATGATCATGGAAAAAAATTAATTGTTCCATTACAGGCGAAGAAGCATTTTGAAAATATAAATTTCCTCAAATTGGCAAAAATTAATCACTTATTAATCTCAATTGATTAAAAGTATGATCTAAAGGAGGTGTTCTATTTATTCATTCTAACGAAGAACTTACATGATAAATTATAAAATCAGATTGCTTTATTACTATTCCTTCCCACACAATTACTACAAAATACATAACAGCAAATACTGACAAAATTGACCCTAAAGAAGAAACTACATTTCCAATATAAATAAGCATCTGGATAATCAGAATAACGTCGTGGTATCCCATTTAATCCTAAAAAATGTTGAGGAAAAAAAGTTAAATTAACTCCAATAAATATTAAATAAAACTGTAAAATCGTCTTCCTTTCTCTCTAATTTTACACCAAAAAATAAAGGAAATCAATAAGTAATCCCAGCCAAAATCGCAAACACTGCTCCTATTCTTAAAACATAATGAAAATGGGCTACAACATAATATGTATCATGTAGAATAATATCTAAAGAAGAATTTGATAAAATAACCCCTGTAATTCCTCCTAAAGTAAATAAATAAACAAACCCTATACTCCACAATATAGGAGTATCTATTTTAAAATCTGATCCACTTAAAGTAGCTATTCATCTAAATACCTTTATTCCAGTAGGAACCGCAATAACTATAGTAGCAGCAGTAAAATAAGCTCGTGTATCAACATCTATCCCTACAGAAAATATGTGATGAGCTCATACAACAAATCCTATACCTCCAATTCCTACTATAGCATAAATTATTCCTAATCTTCCAAAAGGCTCCCGCTTCCCTACAGAAGCACTAATTACATGAGAAATAATTCCAAATCCAGGTAAAATTAAAATATATACCTCAGGATGCCCAAAAAATCAAAATAAATGTTGAAATAAAATAGGATCACCTCCTCCACAAGGATCAAAAAAAGAAGTATTAAAATTTCGATCAGTTAATAACATTGTAATTGCTCCTGCTAGAACAGGTAATGATAATAATAATAATACTGCAGTAATTAATACTGATCATACAAACAAAGGAACTTTTTCTATAATTATTCCATATGAACGCATATTAATAATTGTAGAAATAAAATTAATTGCTCCTATAATAGAAGAAGCCCCAGCTAAATGTAAAGAAAAAATAGCAAAATCCACTGATCTACCTGCATGTCCTATTAATGAAGACAAAGGAGGATAAACAGTTCAACCTGTTCCTACTCCTATCTCTACTATAGAAGATATAATTAATAAAAACAATGAAGGTGGTAATAATCAAAAACTTAAATTATTTATTCGAGGAAAAGCTATATCAGGAGCCCCCAATATTAAAGGTACTAATCAGTTTCCCAAATCCACCAATTATAATAGGTATAACTATAAAAAAAAATTATTACAAAAGCGTGAGCAGTAACAATTACATTATATAAATGATCATCTCCTAATAATCTTCCAGTTCGTCCTAATTCAGTACGAATAATTATTCTTATCGAAGTCCCTAACATTGCAGATCATACTCCAAAAATTAAATATAATGTTCCAATATCCTTTATGATTAGTTGAATAAATTCATCGCAGTAACTTAGTTTAATCTAAAACATTAAATTGCAAATTTAATATACTAACTTTAGAAATCATATTGATGATGAACTGTAAATTCATATTAGCTTCCACTTTTAACCTTGAAAGTTAATAGAATATTTATCTTATTATTCTATAAAATTCTTAAAATTACTCCACCTATTAAACCTAACAACACCCCTATATTCGATAATATATCAATTTTATTATTTTTATAAAAAAAAAAAAAAGATTCTATCCATTTTCTCTCCATCTTAAATCCTATTACTACATCATAGACTATACGAAAATATACATAAAATATTACTACTGATAACATAATTATATATATATTACTATCACTAAATCACACTCAATAAATCTCATCAAAGCTCATCATTTCAAAAAAAAAAAACCTAATAAAGGAGGTATTCCTCCTAAATTTAACATTCCAAATACAAATAATCATTTATTTTTAATTTTATCTACGTCCATTATTCTTACAATTTCTTCCTCCAATAATATAATAACTACTCTCAATAAAATTATCGAATAAAAAACCAATAAATAATATTCATAATCCTATTTTTTCAATCTGACATATAATTAATCAACCAATATGGTGAATAGATGAATAAGCAAATAACCGTTTAATTCTTCTTTGAGAAAAAGAGCCTACTACCCCAACAATTAATCTAATTACAATCATAATTCATAAAATTCTATTCACTACCAAAACTATAATTAATAAAGGGATAATTTTTTGTAATCTTATTAATATAAAACATACTATTCAATCTACCCCTTCACAAACTGAAGGAAATCAAAAAAAAAAAAAAAAAAAAGGACCTCCCCCCAATTTATATGTTAAAATTATAGATCCTAAAACAATTATAATTTCTCCCCGAAAATAAAACAAAGACACATAAAAATTGCAGAACCTAAACTTTGAACAAAAAAATATTAAACACGACAAGCAATCCTAATTACTTTAAACTAATCATTGCTAATAACATTTTCCAATAATACATATTAAACTTTATTCCTAAAAATAATATCCTCAAATAATTAAAAATACTAACTTACCTAATCTTCTACAGAATCTTGATTGCATGGTGGATCACAAAATGTCCATTTTCACCAGATTTCTTGCACGCCATTTCAAATTATCTAACCGCCATTCAAACTATCTGTAATATCCTTCCTTTCACACAATCTCTCTTTTATCTCATTTCATACCACATGTTGGACAATTCATACTTATCCGCAATTAAGCAATTCTTTTCAATTACACATAAATGGAATAAAAATTTCGGATTTACTTTACATAGGGCCATGAGGATCCAAATATTAAACAACACTGTTTCACAGAACATAGAATGAAACTAATGCTGTACAGCAGATATTTTTAAAAATTTACACCCTTTTCCGATTAAAGAACATGACATGTGATCACATGACATATCTCATGATCTCTCATTTCCCTCACACAAAATAATGCGTAATCGGAACTCAGTACTTCTCCCATTATTCCCAAAGTCCTAGGTAGTAACCTTTATCGCCTCCAAAATGTCACCAAACTACCTGTTACCATATTCCAAAGATCAGCCACAGAGTTTTGATTTGCATTGCCTTTACTAAAATACGGAAAATATATGTGAATGCACGGACATAAAAAAAGTAATTAAATATCTTTTGCAAAAGTAGAACCATGTTTGGGTATATATGGATTTGTATGCTTTATTTTTAACTGCCATATCACTGTTAAGAGTCCCTCCACCCTTATAACTTTTTTTTCTGGTAAAATGCTTGAAAATTGTTATTATTTACTAATAGAATAGTACCAATAAATTGTAAAGATAGCCAAACAAAAGTTTTTTGACAGTTTACTAAGTCACCTAAGGACTGCTTTTTCGTGAGGGCAGGGTTTTGTAATAATCCCCCTGCAAAACTGGGTAATAATAAAACAGAGAAATATATAAAAACTCTAGTCTTATAGATTTTTTTTTTTTTTTTTTTTTGTCTCCGAAATTATGGCGTGTTAAATCTACTCACCCAAACTTACTCTTATGTAAAGGAATGATTATGTAAAAGACAATTTATGATTAAAACACTGGGGTTTCATGGTTCTTGTTTTTCAAAGTTTTAAATTCAAGATGGTATAATAATCATGGTCATCGTTTCAGAAGTTTAGAAGATCATTCTTTGCCCCTGTTAAGAAATCACTACTGCCATTATAAAACATATGATAATGGAAAATTAATATTATACAGTACACCTTTTTATTATGATAGTCTCCTTCACATAACTTCTCATGCAAAATATTTTACTTCCTTCACTTAGCAATAAATAAACAAATATCTTTTAGGTATTTCAGAATTCTAAAATAGATTGGAATAATTACTGCAAGGTATGGTTTTCATTATAGTTAATTCAAATTTTAATTTAATTAAAATTGCAGTTAGCAAAAAAGAAATAATATATTTAAAAGAAAATTAAACTATTCATATTATACATTTTACATAAAAGGATACTGATAATTTAAAAAGACATAATTATTAAGCGATCAATCTAAAAGACAGCTTACAAAATATTTTTAATTTTTACCTTGAAATCGTGACAAAGCAATATAAAATGGAGCAATAACTAGAATGAAAATTATAAACATATACAACCGATGACGATTTATAGATATCATTTTAAAAATGCAAATACTAATTCGTATTTCTTACATATGACAGCTATTAAATCTCCTCATTAACATTTTTAAATAAATCACTTTTTTCACTTCACTTCATTTTTTATTTTTGATGATGCCAAACGCACAGTTATAAATAAACAAAATAAATCAGATCCGTGCTTTATTTCGATACTTTTTTTTTTTTTTTTTTTTTTTTTTATTTTAAGTTTTTGGTTTCAGTGTCCTTTTCATAAACGAGGTCTTTAGTAAACACGTTTAAGCGTGAAAATAAAATTAAACATGAGATATTCAAATATAATCCTATCCGCGTTATATTAGATTTTAGTGAACTGTTCAACATCTAAAAGTTAAAAATCTTTTAAAAAAATTGAAGTGAGAATGAGACGTAGTCACAGATCTGCCAATGAACATGATTTTCATTCGGAAAGGAATTTAAATAAATTTCCTGAATACGCTCAGAAGTATCCATCTCTCTGCAGGGTGCATCTATCCGATGTTAAAAGAAGCACCTATCATCCATGCGAGCCTACTATACGACAAATTGACAGGAACAACGTCTTGCATAAGCTGCCAGATGAACATTGCCGCAACACTACCTTGTGTACTGCAGGTACTCAGAAATATTTTAGTAAAATACAATGAGTCCTCTTATGATGACCATATATCTAAAATGACAATTGCGTTCATTATTTCAGAGAACGTAAATAAACATCGGTATTGAGCATAATCTAAAACGAGCACTTCCGTAGAAGATTGAAATCATATGCAAGAATAATGCTAATCAATGTTTCAGTCAATGAAAATATTTATATCTAAATCCAAAAATTTAAATTATCATAATCTGAAATTTATATCTCAAAATTAATAGACTTAAATCTTTAATTACAGAGCAGGTTGTCAAATATTTTTGATAATTTTGAGAGTAACACAGGTTGCTAAAATTATAGTTTTAAAACTGAGGGAAATTAATTTTTCAATATTGACGAATAAATATATCTAGTTGTAAAATAAAAGTAAATTAAATGCCATAACTAAATTTTTTTGTTCACATATTTACCGCGAACTCAAAATTTTGTGGAGCGTAGGTAGCAACGTAATAGTAATAAGCAGTAGCAATATAAATGATTGTCTTAACGTCTGTTTTTTAAATTTATTTCATAAAAAGGCGATAACTTCGCAAAAATTAAAAAAAAAAAGGGTAGGAGACAACATTTTTTCTATTCGGCCCATCCGCACGTCCGATGATAAGTTCAAGTAACATTTCAGAGTCCTGGAATTTTTCACAGAAATACTCGTACAGGTTTTCACAGTATCACGGCGTACAATCAGTAGTTACACTTCAAACTACTAAGAACGTTAAACACATGCAATATTGATGAAACCAAGTACCTTGGAGTCACCCTGGATCAACAACTTACCTTCAGAACCCACTTCCGCTCAGTAGCACAAAAATTTTAAATCACCTCAGCTACTATGCGACCTCTTCTTGGTAGAAGAAACAACATATCTACAACAAACAATTTAATTTTATATCACTCCATACTTCGTCCAGCCCTCCTTTGTGCAGCTGCGGCCTGGGGACATGCAGCTAAAACCAATATTAAACAAGTACTACAAAATAAAATCTTATGAGAAATTGTCAATACTCCTTGGTATATTCCAAACACTTACATTTACAGAGTCCTTCAAATAGAACCTATACAAGACTAAGAAAGAAGCTGATGCTTAGCGGTCAACTTCCCCCAGATTGCTTATCAGAAGCCGAGTAAAAATGTTTCCACATCTTGACACTCGGGAATAAAATACGCTCTTCTTCAAACACATGCAATGCAAAACTCATCTAAAGAGAAAGCTACCCGCAAATATCTCAGTTCTCTGAACTTACGCTAAACTAACAGTTCGCAACCTCGTCTTGGTTTCTGAAGCATTTCTTCTGCAGAATGTTACCCAGATGTTTGAAAAAGTGGTAATCGGTCGGCTAGAGGTCAGGCGAATATGAGGGAAGAGGGAGAGTCTCGTATCCCAATTCGTCCAACTGTTCTGTAGGGTCAGTTGCACGACGTGCGGCCGAGCATCGTCATGGAGAAGAACTGGCCGCTTTCTGTTGACCAATGCCGAGCACATACGTTGCAAATTTTGGTGCATTTCGTTGATCTGCTGACAGTACTTATCTGCCGTAATCGTTTCGCCCAGATTTAGGAAGCTTAGTGGACGAAACCGGCCGCAGACCACCAAACAGTAACCATAATTTTCTTTTGGTGCAAATTTGACTTTGGAAAGTGATATGGTGTCTTACAGCGATCCAAACACTGAGCCTAATGTCGCCAGTTGTTAGAGAGAATCCACTTTTCATCGCACGTAAAAATTCGATCAAGGAAAAGGTCATTTTTGTTGCGGAGAAGAAGAACAGACCACACTTCAAAACGGCGATTTTTCTTTTATTTTCGCTCAGTTCGTGAGGCCCTCACTTATCGAGCTTTTTTGACTTTCTAATACGATTCAAGTGATCAGAAATCGTTGTTTTGCTTACGCTAAGCTCTCGAACAATTATGCACGGGTTTGTTTCAACGAAAGTCATCCAATCATCGTCATCAGCAGCTGAAGAGCGTCCACGATGCTCTCGATCTTCCAGGTCAAATTCTACACGACGAAACTTTTGGTATCACCATTGAACTGTAGATTCATTAACACTTTCCTCGCCGCATACTTCGTTGACATTTCGAGCCGTTTGTGCTGCGCTGGGGCCTAGCTTGTACTCATAAAAGTAAATTTGCAGAAAATCTCGTTTTAACACCTAAACAAAAACACCTAATAAATATTTTCGGAAATAATTTTGGAATAAAACGATTATTATAAAAATATAGAGTGAAAATAGAGCTTCAAAATGATATATAAACCAATGTAATTCAAAATATTTTTGTTGCTAAAAATATACAGGAAAGATAAACAATTGCAAAGACGTGCATTATTTTCCGGACAACCTGATATTTCTTTTCAAGACGAGAGGGTTTCAACATATATTTGCAGACAGCCATAGGTATGCTAACTAAAGGAAAACAAGAAGTGAAAATTAAATGTTTATTAGATACAGGGAGTGAAAGAACTTTTATTGATAAACAGATATCTCGTAATTAAAGTTGGAGGTGATATGTCAGGAACGTTTAAGTACTATTTTTTTTTTTTGGTTCCAAAGCAGAAAAAACAATAATGTGTAAGATGTTTCTTGTCTCCTCGCATAATGTGTCAATAAAGGATTCAGAGCTAAGTAATTTTCAAGTACTGTCTTTAGAAACTAAGAAGATCAAGAACCAGGTAAGATCTATTATTTATATCCGATTTGTTTTACCGGCTTCCCACCAAACGCATCTCCGAACACAGAATATTCAACCCTGTGTACCGTTTCCTCTGCACCCGCCTGCATAGCACAGACCCTTTTGATCCAAGTATGCATTTTTAGAGCCAGCGCTAAGCATTTTGCCTTTCGATGCGACAAATTCTGCTGAAAACCTAAATATCTAACTATCCTAAATTTTGCTGCTCAGTGCCTCGCCTTAATTCTAAAAATTTTACCTTCCCTATGTATTGCTACTAAAAATTTTTGCTGCCCCTGCGCAGTTTTAAAAATAGCAAAGAGCATTCACAGCAGAAACAGACAGCGCCTAATCGACAGAGAAATATCGCACATCTTATTCAGTTTGGTCATACGAAAATGGTACAATGTTGTGTGGGAAAGCCATGCGCACAATTACCTGAAGATACTATTTTGCGCGTGGTTGGCAGAGTTTGCGCTTCCTGAAAATGGAGATTCCTATTAAAAGGTGGTTGCAATATGCAATGTTGCGATAACACATGGCTATTTATCGATTGTAAGATTTCTAATAATAATACTAGCGTGTCTGCATTAGAAATGAAATGATAACATAAAGGCAATGATAACATTTTGCGGCAGCATACACATTGCGAGCTTCTTTTTGCAAATTTCTTTTAATTTTGTTCAAATGGTAAATCAAAATATTTTGAAGTTTTTTAATATATTTTTATATTCTTCTGCTCACATTATTATACGCTCAGAAAAGAAATAAAACAACAAACAAAGAAACTTTTAAAATAAAAATTATTTTTGAACTGCGTTTTAATTTTAATCAGCAGCGGTAAAAATTTAGATTTACGAATTGACAACATCAGATACTTTTTCTTAAAGAAGAAACTGAAGTATTTATTGGATTTAATTATATTTTTTAATTTAAACTATTTTAATGGTTAGCTCTTTTTGAGTTGTCCGTCTGAAATTTTCGAATTGAGAATAGTTAAATTCTTTCTGATTATTTTCTGAGGAATATTGGTCACTTTTCAAGTGGTGGTCATTTTAACGAGATGATAGCTGTGATATGTCGTCCAGACGGGAAGGTAGTAGTGACACTGATTGCTGTACCGAAGGGTCCGAGTTCGAATCTCGAAGAAGGCATGGATGTAAATTGTCTGACCCTTTATAGGAGGCTCATCTGTAAGGCGATTTCATAATAAAGTGAGCACCGTTTCTGGTCTTAGTAGTGGCCAACGTCTATGATGACATGTGCCTGCCATTGCAAAAAAGAATAACTGTGACACACGTTAATTGAACAGGCTCGTATTTCTTTCGGACTTTTTGCGCTAGCGAAATAACTTTGCTTTTCTTGCACGGATCATCTTTCTTAAAACCTCCTTGTTTTCGAAAATGTTATTCGAAATCTTTATGGTTTAAAAAAAGAAAAACGTTCATTCAAAAAGTTTTGAAAATGAACTCACATAAGTATTCGAACACTTTAAACTGGCGGTTTATATTTAATAAAAACATGAAAATAATGGAATATCAAATACCTTTGACTAAAATTAGATTTTCTTTAACTAAAGTCATATTATTCCTTGAAGAGGTTTAAAAAAAAAAAAAAAAAACTTATGGGAAGTAGAAATTCTCCAAGTGAAATTTTTTTGCACCAATTTAAAAACATTTTAAATGCAAATATGTCGGAAACAGTTTACTCAAATCAAGCTACTAAGGTGAGTTTAAAATCAAGCTACTAAGGTGAAAAAAAGAGTCGTGTTCATTTCAGAAAATCCAGTTTTGTTGAAA